ATTCCTTTCTGCCCAGTCTTCAGCTGTGAATTCTCATCTCCACCACCACGGACACCACTAGTCTGCCCAAGCCCTGATCTCATCAACCCTTGCCCTTTCTCAAGGTCTAAACTGTTTTCGTGTCCCACACACAACAGAATCAAAGTTAACTAATCCTTTCCCTATTTATAAATACTAAATACTTGGCTCAGATGTGCCTTTGTTTGACTCTGCAGCCAGAAACATCTCTCTGAGCGATGCATCTCCTCCCATGAAGGGAGGAGGGTTTCCAGCAGGAGCGGGAAACGCGCTTCCCACCCACCCCAAGACAGCAACAGCCTTTGTGGGATGGGGGGGTTCACAGAGGGGGTCCATTGCCAACACTGCTCTCGCTGTCGCTGCAGGTCGTGGAGCGGTGCCTCGAGCTGGGCGCCGCGTCCGCCCGCTACGTGAGCGGCTCCATGGAGGACACCACGTTCCCCAAGGTGCTGGTGAAGGAGGCTGAGCACACCTGGGGTAGGTGGTGGGCAGCTGCCCTTCCTCACTCCCCAACACACCCTGCCCTACATTTCAGGGCCATCCCAGCCACCAAGAAGCTGCTCTGTTTTGAGATGCCCGTTGCTAATAACAACCATGCTCTGCTTCCAGGAGGCCTTGATATGCTCATCCTAAATCACATCGGTTCCTCCTACTACAACTACTTCGACGGGGACGTCGCGCACGTACGAAAGCTCATGGAGACCAACTTCCTCAGCTACGTGGCAATGACCGTGCTTGCCCTGCCCATGCTGAAGGAGAGCGAGGGCAGCATCGTTGTCGTTTCATCCCTGGCAGGTGAGCACGCAAGGGGCCAGGCTCTCCCTGCGAGGGATCCCTGCTGCGGCTCTTCGAAAGACAGAATAAGGACCATAAGGCAGAGGGCCACCCCGCTGGGAGTCGGATCCGAATGCGATTTATATCCTGGATGCACAATTCAAGTCCTCTGGGGGATTTGTGTTCTATGCCCTGTCCTGCCAGTCTCCTTGCACCCACTCATCACCTCCATGCGTTGCAGTCCCTCGGGCACCACTGCAGGTTATTTGACATGCACGGCCACGCGTTACACGCGCAGTCGCTATACATGGGTGTATATGCAGGAGTACAAGACCAGCATCACCCACAACCGAAGGTGCTTCATGTCCCTGTATGCCATACGCTACATTTTAAAGGTTCCTGCATTTGTTTGCTTCTCTCAAGCATTCCTGACAGCTTACTCCGTCACCCTAAATCACAATATTGCAGCTACTCGAAGGGCAGGAGGAAGGGAGAGCCATGCAGCCTGGTGTCTGCCCGGTACACGAGCCCTGACGGTGTGTCTCTCCTCCAGGTAAAATGAGCACCCCGTTTGCTGCTCCCTATTCTGCAACCAAGTTCGCCTTAGATGGATTTTTCGGCTCCTTGCGACAGGAATTCATCATAGAGAAGGTCAACGTCTCCATCACGCTCTGCTTCCTGGGCTACATCAACACAGGTAAGCTCAGCATCACTCGGGCCCCATGACTCAGGACGTTCCTGGACAGAGCCGAGCCCATCACCCACCCTCTGGCCCCAGGCTGCTCCGCACACTGCTCCACCACCGCTGCAGGACCCTCCACAACACGGAGCAACCGTGGGAAAGGGGCCTCAACTCTTTAAAAGTGCGGCCAAGACCTTTGGCTCTGCTGTCCCCGCAGTAAACCCAGGGCAGATGGGGGTTCCGTCCTATGGTCACTCAAGAGGTGGAAAGGAACAGGAAGGACGTGGCTAGAATTGTTCTTTATTTTAACTATTCTAAGCCTCGTTAAGTAGGTCTGATCCCCAGAGTTTGTCAGTTTGTTAGAGGAAGCTACAGACACCCCAACCGAGCTGGTGGTGCCCATGGCAGCCCCTCGATCTGACACTGCTCCTGCCCCCCCCATCCTCCCATCCCTCCAGAGAACGCCGTGCGAGCGGTCTCACACGTCATCCGGGACACGCCGGCGCCGAAGGAGGAGTGTGCGCTGGAGATCATCAAGAGCGGGGCGCTGCGCCAGCGGGACCTGTACTACCCGCCCCGGGCGATGGGCAGCCTGCTGCTGCTCCAGGCTGTAGCCCCTGACCTCGTTGACTCCCTCATCAGGAGCAGCATTAAGGTGGAAAACATCAGAAGAACATAGGCCCTGGGGCGGTGAGCGCGCCGGGACACCTTGGACCAGGCACAAGGGATTTGGGTGTGAATCCGGCTACTCAGGTGCCCTTTTCCATGCCAACGGGGTGGCCCCATGCTGATCCACCCTGGCAACCCGAGACGGGATGCATCAGAAGCCTATAACACACAGCATGAAAACATCTTTTTTAGTAAAAAACTCTTGCAACTGGCTTTTTCTGACCAAGAGACACTTCAGAGAACCCCCTGGCAGCAGGATCTGCTGGCAGCGTCCTGCTCAACCTCCAGAAACCATCCTCCCACCAACAGCCCCCAGGCAGCGGTGTGACCACGGCGGGCAGCGCTCCAAGCCGCTGCCCAGATCGAGGACTTGGGCCAAGCAGCACAAAGCACCCGAAGCCACGAGAGGGCCTTTGAACCAGGGATTTTTTTGTCATACATCCCTTCTAGGCTGGTCTTTGTAAAAATAAATCCTTTGTTACTTGACGAGACCCTCTGCTTTCCCTTGTGCTCCTTGTCCACGTGCGTTGGTACAGAGCCCTCGCCAGTGCCCGCCTGGTTAAACCGTTGCGTTAACGCAGCTTTCACTTCCCTAAAGACCTTAATGGATTTCTGCCATTGGTGACCTCTCCTCAGCTGCCAACACACACTTTTTTTCCTTTCTACAAGAAGCCTTAAAATAATAGCATTACTGAACTTCCCTAAGTCTGGATTTCTCTGCCCCAAAGCAGCTCGGGGAGACTCGGCACCGAGTGCCACGAGCTGCTCCGTGAACCAGCCCTCAACCTCCGCGTGCCAGGGACCGATAAAGAGAGATGGCCAAAAAAATACTCTCTGGCTCTGCTTGGAGAGAAGCTGGAGACTTTGGGGTGCCGAGATAACCCGAATCCCACCGCGAGCCGGGCCCCCGCGCCCCGCAGCCGGGCTGCGAGCGGAGACAGGAACCGGGGCTCGGCTGCGGCCGCAAAGTTTCCTGTTTTACCGAGCGAGAAAAAGGGTGAGAGCAGCAAAAGGAGGCGGTTGGCACAAAGATGGCAGTTGGAGCACGTTCGCCCTCGATAACCCCCCGCTGCTCCACGGCGGTCGAGGGGTAGGACGGGACCCTCGGGCCAGGTAAGTGCCGGCAGCGCCGGGGCTGGCGAGGGATGGAGGGGAGCGGAGGCTGCCGCGCTGAAGGCAGCAGCGTGCACCTTTTTTCCTCTTTTTTCACCCCGCTTTTAGCCTACACGGTTCACACCAGGAGGCTGCAACATGAACCAACAAGCAGCACTATTTTTTTTTTTTTTTCTTTTTCCTGGTTTCCCTTGAAGCGAAAAGTGTAACAGCTTGGAAAGCAAAGATAAAGGACACGTTTGCTAATTAGAGAGGGTAATTCGGGGTAACAAGGAGGAAATAGAGCTTTAGCTTGTCAAGAAGGCCTGAACAGTTCGCTCAGCTCGGGGTGAGTGATGGGCTGTGTATTCCTTCAAGCTTCACCTCGTTTTAGGGTGCATTTTCGGTTATCCGAGGCTATCACAGCAGCTGCCCCCGGGATGCGCAGGGTGGGCAGCCCAGAGGCAGCGCAGGCGGGTGAGGGGCTGAGCTATTCCTGATGGGAAGTGCTGGATGAGTGGGGACCAAGCAGGACATCCGAGCTCCGGATTGAACATGCAATCAGGCCATTTCCAAAATTAAGAAAAGTTAGTCGAAAAATGCTTTCGCAGTCTCCCGAAGAGTTCGGAGCAGTTTGGCTGTAGATACACACTTCGGCCCAAGCTACGGAGTTCGTACCCAGCTTCAGGGAAGCACGCTGCAGGGTGCTGCTGGGCACCCAACTTGCATTTCCCCAAGTGAAGCTGTTGGCCAGACCTTGCCTGCTGGGCCACGGAAAGCGTGTGTGCACCAAGAGGAAAGGCCCCGGGTGAGCACAGCGGGATTGTTATGGGATGGATGTGAAAGCTGCACGGGAGTAACCTGCTCAGCCTTTTATACCCCCTGACTCCTCCAGCGGAAGGTGTTTCACAATAAGAAACACCCAAATAGGGAAATACTGTTGGAATCCTTCAGTAAATTTAAGCTAAAAATCAGAGATGCTTCAGAAGCTATTAAAAAATAAAAAAAAGAAAATGCAAATTAATAAAATCACAAAAGCAAGGGCTGTACTTCAGGGGTTTTGAAGCCCACGTCCCATGCGGGCTCGGCGCAGGGAGCAGTGTCCTGGCTGTGGCTTTGCGGGCACCTTCCCTGCCCAGAGCAAGAGCTGATGGCCCCAAAAGTGCCACTCTCCTCCCAAAGCAAGACCCTACAGCGACGAGGTGGCACCAGTAACGAGCTCTGAGCACACACAGCTAGCACAAGGACAACAAAAAGAAGTATGGAGCAGATTTTAATGCAGACTAAAACGCATGGAAGTATTCCATATGTAAACGGGGTTTACTTGCTCCCATTTTTTTTTTTTCCATTAGAACTCAACAACTTCCTAATTGCTTGAGACAGAACAAGACCAATGAAGTTTCAGTGGTTGTGTTTGACACTGCAGAACATTTAACCTGAATTTTCAGAGACTGAAATTCATTTTTTTCTCCGTCCTTCCTACATTAACATGATTTACTAAACATGAGAAGAGCCCCACACCAGACACAGCCACAGCAGCTCCCAGGCTGAGCCCCCCAGGCCAGGCACCCTCCGAGCATCATCCGCAGGATGCGCACGGGGATGATGAGCCCCTTCACTGCCGGTGGGGCGAGGGGACAGGAGAGAGGGACGGAGCTTTTGCTCAAGAGGAGGAAGAGGAACAGTTGTGGGTAGTTACTGCTCAAATACACTCGACATGACCAAAGTCCAGTAAAATACAACGTGCTGCTGGCTTGCGACTGTGCAGAGAACTCAGCAGGAGGGAGGAGGTTTCACATCTACATCCTGCGTGTGCACGTCGACAGCGCGACGGTGCCGAGACGGAGCAGCTCCTCCTCCGGCCATGCCTCGTTTGGGCCAAAAAACCCCAAACAGAGGTGAGGGCAGAATTCATGCCAGAAGCAAACTGGTACCACAGCTTAACAATTAATTAATCCCAAATTGTAACAATCAGTCACTACACTTGTATTTGCAATGAAAGAACCGAGTTGCAGCTGGGCAGCACATGGACCCCAGGCTGCAGCCGGGAAAGCTGTGGGAGGACACGGGGAGGTGGGCAGGTAAAGGGCAAAGTGTTCCACAGCATCTGAGCCAGAGCCAGGCAGGGAAGGAGCAGCCAGGAGGAAAGAGAAAGCAGCTTTTTCTCCAGGAACACCGCTCGAACCCTTTGCATGAGGACTCCACAATCAGTATCCAATACCTCACATCCATTTAATCTTAGAAATAACTCATATTCACTCAGATCCTGCTTTTTCCCTTGGTTCCACCAGGACAGAGAGCTCGGCGCAGTCGGGGCGCTGCCGGACCAGCCTCCCTGTGCCCAAAAAACGGCCGGGGCAGGCACGGCCGTGGCACAGACGTGCCAGCGAGAGCTACGAGGAGAAGTGCGAGCGGCGGCACGAGGCGCGGGAGAACCTGCGGCGGAGAAGCAACGTGACGACCTGCCGCCAGCGCGGGAGGGCAGCGGAGCTGCCGCCGCAGAGCCCCCGGCACAGGGAGTTCCTGAGGAGGAGGAACCTGGCTGGCGATGGGGGAAGGACACTGCCAGGACAGGAGCCCGAAGCACGCGCCGCCCCGGACCCATCCTCGCAGGTGGATCCAGGACCACCCGTCCTGCTCCAGGTAACGCCAGCCCCCGGAGCGGCTCAAGGCTCTGCCTGCTCCAGCTAACACCTGCCAAAGCATCCCCAGCCTGTCCACCAGTCACAACAGCATAAGGATCCCAACCAAAGTACAGCCAGAAGTGAGAATGCACCAACAAGAAAGTGCATCTCCTTACGAATGGCAGAGCCGGGCACAGGGAAACACCGCTGCCTCCCTCCCGGTGTGCTCCGCTCCCGTTTCCAAACCCTGAACCAGACGGAGATTTTCCACCATTCCTCCCAGTACAACTCTACATCCTACCTGCCAGACTGCAGTTTTGCACTTAGGCAAATTATTTTTACCCTTGAAAACTGAGCTCCAAACACCTGTTTTCCC